AATTTATTTAATGGAGGTTAATTCTTGTTATTCATTATGGAGTAAGGAATAATATGCTTTCTCAGTTTTTTACAAAATGTTTTTTAAAAATTTTCTTTTCATTTGTTTTTATTTCAGTGTGAACAAAACACATTACTCAATTCCCTATCCAACGGTAGCTACAATGGTGAGTTAGTTTTAAGGAAAAAGTGAGTGTCTCTCTTCTTTTACTTTCGCTTTCTTCCCTCTTCTCTCCATCTTGTCCTTCCCTTCCCTCTGCCTCTTCTTCCTCCAGTCTACTTCCTCTTTGTTCCTTCTTATTTCTTTTTCATCTTTCTTCCCTTTTACTTCAAATGCATGAAATGGAGATTGAAATTTATGGAATCAGAGGTTAATATGGACAAAAAAATTTCTTCAAGTTATCTTTTCTTTGAAAATATTTTGTGTTTTCATCCAACCAGTTAGCAATGCAAAGCAATTGGACATTGATACTGATTGGAAAAAGTGTGTCAGGTCACAGCAACAAATGCTTTGGTTGTGGTGCTGGTTAAATCATCCACCCTGATGTTTATTCTGTCAAAGTTTGTCTTGGAAACTCAGAAGCTCATGTGGCTTTGTTTCAATATAGAGAAAACACAAGACAAAGAAAGCGATGAGCCACTGTGAAGCATGAATGAAAAACATAGTATTGTTTGCCTAATAAAACAGAGTCAAATTAAAACAAACTTGCAGGTTTAGCCTTTAATGTTACATTAGCTAACACATAAACATCAGGAATTATTCATCATGGATTTTAAATTATAAATTGATAAACAAAATTTGCTTAATTTTTATATTGTATATGTGATTGATTCCTTCTAACTTATATATAAGTAAAGCATTTTCTATTGGAAAGAGGAAAATATTCATTTTACTTTTTATTTGAAATTTGGGAATCTTTTAGTTCAATAATTCAGTTCAAAAGTTCACTAGATGTCTTTATTTATTTACTTTTTTATTTATTTTGTGGTACTGGGGATTGAACTCAGGACCCTGCACTTGCCAGGAAAGTGTTATTCTACTGAGCTATAGCCATGGCCCAAGATGTTTTTAAAAAATATTGAAAATAAGTATTATTCTTAACTGAACTAAAAAATTACACAACTTATCAAAGAATGAAATAGCATTATATGTGATTCTGTTACTAGGTCACACATTTGAAGAAATAATCAGTACTGAAAACTCAAGGTAAAAAAATAGTTAATTTTTAATTAACTTCTTGACTTTTTAAAATAAAGGATAGTCTTGTATGAATATATCTTTAAAAAGCAATGGCTTGATTATTGTCTCATTTCTCAACCATTTCTTCTATTGATTGATGCCATACTTTTATTTACCATATTCGCCAAAAACATGTGGTATCCATTTTATTATTGCTGTACCACTAGAGACAAAAAGCCAATAGATGGTCAATTAATAAATAAAGGGAAAGAAGCAAGTGAGGGAGTTAGAGCAGAGAAAAAGCAGACAGAATTAATGAAATAAAAACTATTGTCTTCAACCAGAGGGATAAATGCACAGCCATCAATTTTATAGGGAGATATAGAGGATATAATCATGGTTAGGTGAGAGAGAAAAAGAACAAGGAAGATTTTTTTTTTAAAGTCCATTGCACTGAACGTGAACGTGACACACGTGTCTTTCCAAGCATCTGAGGAAAGGCAAATTACTCTGAGGGCTCTGGCCAGCGTTTTTGTCTGTGGCTGCGGCTCTGGCTTGATGGCAAGTTTGTGCTGTTGTATTTTCCCTCAGGTAGGTGGGAAAGGTTTCTGACTTCCACTCTTCCTCTTATAACCATAAACTGGGACTATAATGTACATTTATTTTTTATTTTTATTGTTTTCATTTTAAATTTATGTATTTGGTGCAGAGTCTTGCTACACAGCTTGGACTCATAGTGATTCTCCTGTTTCAGCCTCCCCACAGCTGGGATCACAGCCATATGCCACCATGCTCAGTTTTGGTGGCCTTGGTGAGCCCGGGAAAGGGCCAGCATGACATACAGTACTCAGGATTCAAACCTGAGTCTTTTTTCTTGCCTAGGCAGTTGCTTAGCCTAGGCTGAACTATATGCTTGGCCCTATAATATAAATTTAAACACATTTAAAATAGTGGATATTATACCTGAAGGTTTTCTGGCCAACATAAGATTAGACTGTAAATCTTTACTGGAAAGAAATTTACAGCAGGAAGATAACCAAAAGTCTCCGTATATTTGCAAATTAGTAAATTGTTTTTTGATAGTCTTTTATTCAAAGAAGTCACCACAAGAATAAAGAGAAAAAGGTAAGTAAATTACAAGAGAAATTCATCTCAACATATATGGGGTATAACAAAGTAGCACTTATCTCCCCAGCCCTTAAGGAACATTTATTAACCTGCATGTATTAGGAAAAATTTCTAAAAATCAGTGACTTAATGATTTATATCAAGAATTTAAAGATTCAAAATGGAACCAATGAAAATAAAAGAGAGAAAATAATGAAATAAAAGTTAATAATATAGAAAATAGATAAAATTT